CATACCCCTGTAGTTTCACAGTACCCCTATATTTTCTATTAATTACAATTGATCGAATATCAATTTTTTAAATTGTAGAAAAACCCAAAATCAGATTTATGTGGTGTTAAATGATGAAGCAAGTTAGTTACCCTCTCGCCCATAACCAAAACTCATATACCATAATTTTCCTGTTATATGCTCCCCTTTCCTCTTGTAGTAACGTTATTGGGATTTACTCAAAAAAAAAAAACGTTATTAGAACCTAAAAAATGGACTTAATTTACTAACTTAACAATGTGTTAAGTAATACAATTTCAATGAATAAATTCAACAATTATAATTGCAATAATTCAATTGGACCACCTCACTACAAGAACCTTAGATCAACAAATTAGGCTGGTTTTTTTTAGTTTTGATAATATTACTTTCCTATTTTATGTTTTTTTTTTTTAAGAAAGGGCGACATTATTTAATGAACTCCTCACCCATTTGACATAACATAACCACACATCTCCGTGTAAAAAACAATTGCCTAACAAAAGCAATATGAGCGTCACGGAAACAAATTGCAACAAAGCTACGATGAACTAGGGAGATGCATGGAGGGGTTTTGACAATGGAGAAGATCGAGTTTAGGGGAATTTGCAACGAAGGAAAGGATCTAGGGGGTTGCAGTGGGGATTAGTGCTTCGATGGTAGATGACAGGGCTGTAATTGGAGGAGGTGAGTTATGGTTGGGGGTGTTACTAGAAGGGTGAGTGATAAGTCAATTGTTGGTTTAGTTTTTTTCGTGAAAGAATATTTTTTTGTGTGTGTAGAAAAGTGAGAATTTTAAGGATCAAAATAAAGACGTTGGTAAACCCCGTTGTTGACTAATAAAGGACCATTCAACAAATGTGAAATGAAACTCCAAGAAGTAGTTTAAGTAATAATAAAGATGCGTTGTAAATCTAGATATCCTGAATTTAAATTCTGATAATCTTTTAGAGTCAAGTCATTAGAGATATATCTATCATAAATATCCTAATTCCGACATGGATAATCTGTCTTTTGACCGGACCGAAGAGAGTATTAACTAGATTGAGGAGGGGATTAATCAAAATGCACATAAGCTGAGCCGGATAACATTGACCATTGAAAAAAAAATGTGAAATGAAATAAGAGGGAAAATGATTTAATGTAGAAACTATAAGGTCATACTCTGTAATTATAAAAGTCATAGGGGTGTAACTGTGTAAGTACAATTTGGCCAGTTCACTGTGCTTTGAATACGTGCATCCTACGCTTCGTACCCGTATTCCTTAATACATTGTCCTGCCAAAATATTGAATTTTGGTTTGGCTAACTGATGATGACAATATAAGACATCCACAAAAGTTTGAAATAAGAGCGAGGGAATGCGACAAAGCTCTGCTCTTTTACGTTTTGTTTATAGGAGTGGTTAGAATATTTTTCTTCTTTAATATTAAATTGAATCCTATTGTAAATGGGACCAAAACTCAAATTATACGTCTTATAGTATTCTTTAGTATTTGATGATCAACAATGGAACATTTATGCATAATCCCAGACTATAGAAACAGCCAGCTAACAAACAAAACAAACACAAGCACAAAAAGAGACTCAAATTATGCAAGATGGTGGAACATTAGTTTAACCTTGGTTTTGCCTAAAGATGGCTGTGAACGCTTCATTTTCATTGTAATGCTCCCTTTACGTGTGGCCACTTTAAGATGGTCTGTCCACCTTCAGGACATCAAAATATCAGGTCAAATCATCCTCCTCCAGTTCTTTGGCCTTCAGAGTTTCCTTCACTCTCAACAGAAGCGTGGTCTTCCAAGTATCCTGCAGAGAAGTACAGTTAACTTCATACACACAATTTAGGAGAATAAATCCAACCTTCCCACAAGACTCCGTCAAGAAAATAATCAGGGCCAATCACCTATGCAATAAAGGATATACTACGAGGTTACCACAAGTTCCTCAAACAAAACAATAAAAACAGAATATTATAAACTTACAGAGAGAAAATATATATTAAGGCACCCAATTGTCAACGAAAGCAAACCAAGCCTGCATTTCTTTCACAGGCACCATGTATGGGCATAGAGTGTATGTTGAAGCAAGAGCAGCAAATGAAAACGAAAAAAGGTGGGAAAAAACTGCTCTATAATTTAGGGGGTCCCAAAATTAATTATATGCTGCCAAAAGACGAGGAGATACCATGCTAAATGATTCTGTTTGATTCAACCAAAATCTTGTGAACTGATAAGCAATTCCATATTGGAAATCTGGTCTCTGATAAAATATAGATTCAGCCTAGTAGATTGCCTTGTTGAAGCCAACACCAAACTCAATAGCTGAGGACTTGAGGCTGACATGATTTTTAGCAAACTAAAGTTACTAAACAGTAACTATGCAGCCGTCGATGAAAGCCAAGTAAGAAGAGAACTAGCAGCTGCTTCATCTAGCATTTACAGTTTTAATGGTGAAGAATAACGAAAGCCAGAAATGGCCTCCATCTGAGCATGAATCAAACTTGGATGGCAAGAATACTTACCAGAGGGGTCATGCTATCAAACTCCTTGACAACAGCAGTGAATGTTGCCACATCTTCCTCGTCAACCGCAGCTGCCAAATCCTGACATTTAGTTATTACCATTAATCACCAGGGACTAAGTATTACTATAAAGCTACATGAAAGCTACAAGAAGTAGTTGCGAAAATACAATTTATTGCCTAACAGCTATTAAGCAACTATGATGAGCAAACACATTTATAATAAAGTATGAGAACCAGACTGTAAAAACCACTGTTACTCATGCCGAAGGAATTAGGAAAAGAAAAGCATGTACAACTCAAAATGCAAGGTAAAATAGCATGTCCTACTGTCAGATGAGCCCAAACTTACAGCTAACAGTTTGTACTCTCTTGTTCTCGAAAAGGTTGGATCCAAGTCCTGTATAAGCAAGTCAAAATTTGCAAGGAATTCAAGTATGAAGTACAACCTAATAACGATAAAAAAAACAAAAAACAAAAACAAGATATATACCTGGTATCTCTCCAGCGCATTGTGTATGGCAACAACATCACCTTTGCAGAGTTGGCAAAGTCCAGCATTAAGAAGATGCCCTCTGACTCCATACTTCAGTAGATTATTGTTGAGTGAGTGTCGTGCTATCTCTTCATAAATCTCAATTGCCTTCGGATATCTGAAGAGTCATCCCATCCAATTGCTTAGCCCACAAATATGCATCAACATCTACTTAAGCAAACAATTCAAAGAAAAGACTATCCCTACATTTGCAACAAGCAACAAGCAACAAGGATCCAGCCACAAACCTCAACATACTTCTTCTTCACTGTCATATTGTTAATTCATGATTCTTAGCAGCAACAGGAACAACAATCATAATACTAACAATTACGATCAATAATAACAAAAATTACAATAACAATACCAATAGTTTTGAGCCAGAACCAAATCCCCTAGATCTGCTTGCAAATGCTAATGAGTATTTTAAGAAAGTTGATGGAAGGAGTCCAAATTCAAGGATTCTAGGAAGAAAACTAGTACCCAGAAAAATGTCATATTAGCTGAGGTCACTTACTTTCCCATCTGAGCAGAAAACAGAGCAACTTTCTGCTTGCACTGATTTGAGGAGGTGGTCACTTCCTCACTTTGGAAAAGGTCAGCAGACCTCTCAAAATATACTATAGCCATCTCAAAGTTTTGTTCCTGCTCATAGAGCTCACCAATATTCTGAGTGAAAATTTTTAATCCAAGTCAGCTTCAGCTTCAAATAATGTACACATTTTTTTCTTCATACAACCACTAAAACTTAAATGTCACATGAAACTAATACTGTAAAGAATATCTGGGATATAGGCAAGTGGTGTTTTAGAGAGGAGAACATGAATGTACAGGAAAACTGAGGGAGCTGTGAGAAGCAAATCATGAATATACGGTAGCTAATCAGGTAAACACGTATATAAAGATTCTACCTTGGAGTATCTTGCAGCCATATTGAGTCTTCCATTCTCCAAGAACAAATTTACAGCTTGATCCAGACATGCTATGGCTTCTGCAGATCACCAAACACCAATACAAACAATAACAGGATGAGCTTGCCAATGTCCATGATTATGAACAGCACTAGTTTAATGCATATGAACAAAAAAAATAGATCAATGCAACACACACGTTTATTGGAAGTTTTCTTATAACAGTTTGCAGCATCTACATAAGCACTTGCAGCTTCCTGCTTACTATCCAACTGAAAAAAGCAAGCCATTTACATCAACTGTATTCAGTTACAGTGTGAGAAAAATGGAAACACATGAAATTGCCAAAGATTTTACCTTCAAATGACAATTGGCCAATTTGATGTTAACTAATGCAGCTCTATCCCCTGGGAAACAATCATGTCCAAAAATTAGGGGGTTAAATCGTTAAAGTTAAACAACTGTCCATGCCATCAAATCCTAATAGGTTCAACCCCATGAAAACATACTTATGCTGATTTTGGATCTACCGATCTAGAGAACTGACAGCTTATTAAGGTGGCCACTGCTTAGTTCAGAGGTTTGGTGCTTGGGCTGTTAAGAGCAATAAAGCATGTTCAAATATCAGGGTAGCCCACTCTGTAAACAAATGGCAAAGATTAGGTCCGCATCTATTATACCCTTACAACATCCTAATGTGCAAACATAACCCCAAAATGTCCAACCATGTCAAATGGAATGTCTATTTAATCTACCCCTTCTACCAACATAAGGCTTAAGGCATTTCTATTGAAACAAGTATCCGTTTCCAAAGTGCTCCATCTGGTTACTGAGTAAACAGTACAGAAAAAAAAGGTTAACCAACAGAGATATTCCATCCTAAATTTGCACTTTAATGTTTTTAAAACCTCAAAAACAACTACTTTTTTTGTTGCTATTGCAAAAAAAGGGTGGAAGCAAAGGAGAGCACCCAAAGTCCTCAGGGAAGATGAGGCCGTGAGATCATGCCCTCACTCCTCTCGGAAAAGAACCTAAATATAATACCCGTGAGATCATAAGACCCCTAATCGTGTCCATCACTTCAAGACTCAAACCTCCACCCTCCAACCTCAGTGTAAAGAGGAACTTCACTGGACCAAAAACAACTACCTTAACTTAACAATGATAAATATAATTTTCTCATCATAGAGCATAATTACTCAGTTAAATTGGGAGGAGCTTTTAACAATCTGCCGTCATTCAAATTTGTTCTCTTCAACTCTCTCAGCAACCAAATGAATACTTTACATGTACTTAAAATTCGCGATCATCAAATTTGGATATACCAGAAGTTATGAGGCAGTAATACCATTCATGTAGACATATAGTTCTGTAGATTACATGAGAGAGAAAGAGAAGTAGATCACAAATACTTATAACTTCATACAGGATTTGGCGAGTTTAAAGGAATTGGCGGCTCTTTGGTAGAATTCAGCGGCGTCTTCGTATCTAGAGCCGAATAAACCCCAGCTGCTAATCTTCTTATCGGCTTTCTTCTCAAGTTCTTCACCTTTTACTATCTGCTTCTCCATTTGATCGATCGCCTAGAGAATTGAGACTCAGAATGAACGAGAACGAGAAAGGAATTGAATACAGGTGTGTCGTTGCGTTTGGACCTTCGTTTCTCGGGTGGTCCACACAGTCACAATGTTTGATTTTCTTGGGTAAATTGTAATAACGACCCCTGATCTTTATAAAAATAACACATCCACCTCTTAATATATCATAAATACAAAGCAAAGACCTCAATCAAAACTATTAACTAAAACCAATTACTTTTTTTCTAGTTAAAAAAAAATTGTTTTTTTTTTAATTTTTAGGTTATTGAAAATTTATTTATTTACTTTTTTCTTGTCCAACTTGGTCTCCCTCTCTTTTTTTTTTTGGCCTCAGCAATATAAATGGTAAGATATATATAGGAGCAAATTTAAGTATATTATTCTAAACGAAGATATATTTAGACTACTTTTGTCAAACAATAGCTAAATAAGATTTTAACTTTTTGAAGAAATTACTTTTTCATTTAAATTATTATCTAAAAAAAATGGTGTAAATAAAAATTCACTCAGTCCAAAGACTCCTCCAAACACAGTACAAACAAAAATTTTATTTTTTTATTTATATTTTTGCCCTCAAACCTCTCTCTCTCTCTCTCTCTCTCTTGCACGGACTATAGATTGCCATTGACCACTGCTCCAAAATGGATCAAGTTGACGATAACCGGACGTAGCTTCGAAGAGGGCCTCATCGGTGATTATCCTCTGTTCGCGACAAACATTCAAAGGTTACTCTCATAGTTTATCTCTCTCTCTCTCTCTCTCTCTCTCTCTCTAGCTTTGAAATCCAAGGGAACTAATTTTTTTTGCATCGGATTGTATTTTAAAGCCAAAAAGAACGCACGTTGAACTTCATGACTCATAAGTTCATGATATTCGTCGCCACCAATTTTCCCATAAAAAGTGAAAATTAGAAGAGATTTTTAAAGGTCGGTACCTGGGCCAATAGGATTTCAAAAAAATCTCATTTGCTAATTGTTTTTTCTTTGCCAATCAGATCATGACCTCAAAAAATTTAATTTTTTTTTGAATTAGGTCCCTATTGAAAAAATCAAAATAATAAACATAACTAATATCATTTAAAAATTATAATGTACCTTCTTCTCCATAAACTAAAAATTTCAGATAAATATACTAAAAAAAAATTATCAGACAGGTACCTAAAACACAGATTATCAAATAGGTACGTTAAAATATAAATCGTTAGACAAATATACTAAAACACAGATCATCAGACAGGTACATTAAAATACAAATTGTTAGATAGGTATGTTGAAACACAGATCATCAGACAGGTACGCTAAAACACAGATCGTCAAACAGGTATGCCATAACACAAATTGTCAGATAAGCACGTTAAAACACAGATCATCAGGTATATACATTAAAATACACATCGCCAAATCCACCTTAACATGACCTAGTTTCAATATCATGAAACAAAAAATAAAAATAAACAAACCCTAAAAGCTAACCTTCTATTATCAAACATTCAAATTCAAGAGCTCACAAACTCATAACAATCAATTAAAAATCCCTAAAAATTACTTCACTATATTCAAATCGTAAACCGAGCTCAGTATAAGTAAAATTAATCTTCCTGTACTCCTTCACACTTCCATTCGTACTTCTTTTGTAATTTTGCCTCTTCCTCGACAATGGAACCATTCACAATATTAAATGTCCGACAAACTTGGTTAGAGACGACTACGCTTCGGATGTAATTCCATTATCCCACGTGGATAGCAAACTTTGATTCATATCATAAAGTATCTCAAAAAACATGCAAATTCAACAATTTCAAAGGAAAATATGAAGTAGCTTGATTCCAATTTTGTGGAGAAGGAACAAAGATCATTAGGCTTGAAAATCATGTGATGAAGGCAAAATAGGTAATAAAAACACAATAATGGTCCCGCCTCTTATTGTTCGCGCTAACACAGGGATCTGCATGTAAATTTTTTCAAAACACGGGAAATTTTTTTTATACTAAAATTGTGACAGGACTAAAGTTAGTTTACACCCAAACGAGGGATCTTATGCTAATTAACTAAAATTAGAAAGTGCTCATAGAACTGCAGTCCAATCCACGGCCCACATACCATTTTGGAATGGATCCACCTAAGGCGGACGCTTCTTTACTTAATACGAGCTTTACCATCATGCAACCAATGAGATCCATCCGCTTCTTTGTGGGGCTTTGCTATTTCCTTTTTGAAGCCTCTTTTTTTTTTTTTCCATAATCTTCATCTAACATTTCAGGTAGTGTTTCGAATGGCTTATTAAATTTAAAATTTATGTTTTTAATAAATATTTATCAAAAGTATTTTATAAGTAAAACACTTTCACTAAATAAATACTGTTTGGATGTCTAAAATAAAAAATACTTTAATCAAAGTAGCTTATAAAAAAGTGCATTTTGATTTCGTTAAATGTATCAGACATATTGTCAAGGCTCGTCGAAACACAGCCGCGAAACCTAGAAAAATTACAGATATGGAGCATTCGTAAATTATCCGGTGAATTGAACGTATTAATAGTAATCTATTATTGTTCATAAAAATGGCGTCCGGAGGCTTATCAAAAAGCTTATTGGGGACATCTCCTTCAAACTCATTAAACCTGAGATCTAAGAATTTCAGAGTCAGTAACTCACGAACATGAGGGAATTTTGGGATAAACTTCTTGTTACCGAGATCAAACTCGAACAATAGCATGAGGCTCTTGTACTTTCTCGCCACAGCGCCACAAAACTTGCTCGATTGATGTGAAACAAGGCAAGATTTGTGAGTAACCCAAGTTCTTCCAGGAGGTAACCGACAATATCACCACGGTTGAGGTCAATGTTGGCGATTGTAAGGAATGGTTGTTGAGCGTCGGAGCACAGAAGTATCCCTACCTTGTCGAGGATAGTCGGAGATGGAAGAACACTGATGAGAGCTGCCATGGGAGACTTTTTTGACAGAGATGATCGGGCGCAACAAACTGAAGTAAAAAGTAACTAGGGCGGAAGCAGGGACGTTAGTGGACCGAAGCGCGGCGGAAAGTGTAGTCTTTATTTTTGTATTTGTTTAAAAAAAATTCTTTTTATCTCCGGTCCACCTTTGTTAATGGGTATAATTTTTATCCCTATTTTTGTCTGCGGGTAAATTTCTAATCCTCGTCCTCGTCCCTCGCTTCCTCCGTATCCGCCTAAGCCTAAGTTCAATTAACGTAATCTAAAATTCTAAATAAATCTAATATTTTAAATAATCTAACAACATTCTAACATAGTCTAACACAACATAATATAGATTACAAAATATAAAAGTCAAAACAATATAAGATTCTATTTAAAGTGTCATTGGACCATAAAAAGAGAAACGGGACTATTAGAGAGAAAATAAGAAAAGGAAAATAAAATTGAACTAAAAAAACGATAGCACTACACTTGAAGTTTCCTAAAAGAATTTTTGTTATTACAATTCATATCACAGCCATAAAATGTTAAAAGATGAAAACTTAAAATTTCGTCAATTCAATAATTCTCTCAATTTCTTAGTTCGCTTTAGTAAAAAAACTCAGTAACCTCCATTTACAATATTTCTACCCACGATGAAATGTAAAATTATCTTACTCTCTCTTATCTGTTTTTAGATCATGGTTAATCTAAACTCCTAATAGTTTCAATCAGTGAGCACAAATAGAAAAAAGAATAATCAAAGAAAAAAGTTGATAAAATTACCACGTAGTAATGCCATTTTTTAATTTGATTATCATATTTCTAGATTGATAGTTACAATAAATATGTTTAGTTAGGGCTTGAGAGTATATATATATATATATATCTAATGGGTAGCGGGGGGGGGGGGGGGGGGGGGGCAAGAGTAAAAGTTAGTCCATCATCGCCTTCATTCTCATACGGGTATCTCCGTATACGTCCACCGTCCAATACGTATAGTCCATCTCTAGTCCAAACGAGACGGATTTCGATGAATACCCATTTTTCCCTGGTCCACTGTCATCCCTACGTGGAAGTGTTTTTGAAGAAGTAAAAGTCTTTTTTTTTTTTAAAAAAAAAATTTACTTGTTAACTTAATTATGTGATAAAATTACTTTTAACTTATTTGAAGTGTTTTAAATAAGTAAATCCAACCACCACTATTTTTTTTTTAAAGTGCTTATTTATATTATTTACTAATAAAGGTACCTTAGATAAAAAAACTTTTAAATTCCTCTTCTATCCTTAAACAATTATAACTCACATTAATAATTTCATTTAAAACTTTTGAGTTTCTATTTTGTCCTTAAATAAATATATGAACACTTATGACTTAAATCACAAAAAAAAATTTACATTGTGTGTACCCTAAAAGAAACCTACAAATTCAATAATTACCAATATATAATTCATAAAAGTCACTAATAAAAAAATTATTTTCTAATTTTATCCTAACAAAATTTAATAAAGTCCATATTATAATTCTGTAACTGTGATTTAACAATAACATAAAATCAATATTATCCTTAATCCAAAGATTACTCTAATTGATTTCTCTTTTTGTTCTTTTTTTATGGATTAATAATATAAAACTAAAAGTTTCCAATGGTCTAATATGTGTTTTAACTTATCTAAATTGTAAACCTTACAGATTCTAGAAATAATGTAAACAAGTCTTAAGAGTTCTTGAGAGTAAATATCAAATTATAACAATGACTTATGAAATTTAAAATGAGTCAAGCTCTTTAAAAATTTGACTTTTGAACTTTCCTTCAGTTATTAATATCTTATATATTTAGATAAATCTAACAACAAATCTAAAATTAAATTTCTTTACTTACAAATAAGTTAGTCTTGGGGAATTCCCAAAATTCTAATCTCTCAAGATAAATGTTGCAGAAGAAACAAGTCTTTGTAGCTGAAACATGTATGTCTTCTATCTATTAGTTTGTATGGAACTTAAAGTTGCAGCTCGCTCTTGATCTATATATGAAAGCACGTTATGATGATTACTTGATTATCCTGTTATCTTGTATTCTATTATAAAAATATATCAATCTTTTATACTAATTTTATCAAACTTTTTTCTCGCAAAATTTGTATCGCCATGATTCATGCAACTAATGATTATGAACTCTTAGCCATTATAATAAATTTATCACACAAAAACGTATAGTTTCAACCAATCTTCCAGTATTGGTAGAGTGATCAATCAATCTTGAAGTAATCAATTTAACATGTAGTCTAACTTTTTAAAAGATTATTGTGGTTAGAACATATAGCAACATATAATATATCTAGACAACAAGTATCAATGGACATATACTTTGATTCGTAAATGAATATTTAATTATTTCAACATAATAATAAGAAAAAACATCACCACTATAAATTAAATTTGTCCACTCGTAACGTACATATGTACCAATGTGTCAAGTGATAACTTCACATTAAAAAATATTGTTGATAAATAAAATTGAGTATTCGTTTAATAGGAGTATGTATTAATAAATCAATTTTATAGGTTTAGCACAATGCATTTATATAAAAGAATAATGAATTTACAAAAAGTTAAAGAAAAATTCGAAAGAGAACATAGTAGAATCTTAAAAAAGGGCAACATAAAAAACTAAGTGTTATATTTGGGAAGAATTATTTGCTTGACATCTTATCTAATTTAGTTTTAAGAGATTGAAGGGTTGCCAATTAAAATATACCAAATTGGTTTGATCATTAATTATCTTTAAATTTTGAAAGAGGAGATTATTATGATAGGTATGTGTGGATACGTGGCCAATGCATTTTACCAAATTTACGATTAAACTATAAAATAAAACCCATAAATTACAAAAATTACATTTTGAGACAATCTTTGATAATATTCCTATTTTAAATTAATTAATTTATATACCGATATAATAAATATAAAATCAAAACTATTCTTAAAAATAATTTACATGCAACGCACGCATGCATGAAATATCTAGTGATAAGTAAAAATCACAAAAATACTATTATTTTTAAGTCATGCCAAACAACTTTTCTCATTTATGATCTTCGTTTAATGTCCCGTGAGGTAGGTAATACATACTTGAAGTAGTTTAATTTTTTTTAAAAAATAATTTCAGTGATCTAAATGTTTTTTCGTGTATAAATGACACAATAATGTATGTTTATATGTATTAACATATATGCGATTAAGTTTGGGAGAACGGAGAAAGTTCCGATAAGGAAAAAGAATAATAGTGAAAAATAAAAAAACAATCGCTTGTTTCTTTTCTTTTTTGGTTCAACAATTAGGAGTGTTCAAATCAATTTTCGTGTATCTAAATTTATCCATTTCTCAGTATAGTTAAAATAAATCATCCACATTGAAACTAGCCCTAAGAGATAAATAAGATTTAAATCCAAGACGTTTAAATTTATATATTATTTTTATTACCCCTAAACTACTCTTTAAAATTTACAAACCACCATTTAATTAGTTGGTATAAAAAGATTTTGACATCAATGGTGTTATTGATGATGCAAGTGGCAACACCTTGTGCTCCCAATGTACGAACATTTCAATTATTTCTTGAAACCAAAAGACAGGTGGCTTTCTTTATCCTTGCGTGTCCCAATACTTTTTTTTGTTAGCCTGGTGGGGTCTTTGGATTCCAAAGCCAAGTACTCATACTCTTGGTCCTCACTATTACACTACGGAGAGTGACTTTGATGATGCCCTTGGGTCCTACTCCATGGGTGCGATAGTAACATTCATTGACACCAACTTGGTCATGAAATTTAGGAACACGACTTTCCCACGTGTGACTCTCTATTCCCTCAAACTGGGAGCAGTTAGTTAAAGAATAATGACAGTTTTTAATTTAAGTGATAATAAGGATTAACGGTAAATTTAGACAATTTTTTAGAAACAGATTATGAGAAATTTATCTCTTATTAATATTTTAATTTCAACGTGGATGATCTCTCTTTGACCAAATTGGAGAGACAACTAATCGAGATACTCGTAAATTAGCATGAACATTTTTTATCGTTGAATTGAAAAAAAAATGACAATCTTTGACCGGTGATTAAGCTCACCATGAAAAATTAATGCCAAGTTCATTTTGTTTTAGATATCAAAAGAAAACAACCGACATAAGGAGAAAATATATATTATAACGGTTAGACTATGTGATAATACTAACGTAGTATCACCAATTAATAATATTAAAATAAAGAGAATATATTTTTTATAGGTAGTTAATCAAAATTGAGGAGTTACATAAACTCATTGGGAATTCTCAACATTGATTTATGTATTCGCATAACTCTTCAATTTTGATTGGCTACTTGTATATACAGGCTTGCCTTAAAAAATTTAATCCCTAAAACAAATAAGGAAACGTGCCCCACCAAAATTAATAATCAACTCTCCATGTAAACAAATAGTTATTGAAATGAGGTTCACCTTATCCATTTAATATTTTATTATTGATTTATGATATTACAGCAACATGATTAACATGATATCACTGTTGTATTCAATATTTACTCTTACACGGGGTATCGTTTCTAAGTGGTGATGTCATTTGTAAAATTGATGGAAGTCCAGATCATACATGTAGATTACCTTTAGCTGTTGGTTTTATGACCATGAAGAGAAAAGGAAGCTAAAGAACAATTGAAGTAGAGCATGGACAAGCAGGGATTTAGGCATGGACAAGGTTGCTTCTACATATTTAAATGAACATAATCCTAGTAGAAGATTTAGTATACCAGTCTGAGGGAAAGGCAACGAAAAAGGAGATATTCGAAAATCTAATCTTGTGTGCTTTTTCATCGATTAGACACAAATTAGCAATCATGCTAATCAGTCATTTGAATGATTCAGTTTGTCGCAACTTTATTGTAGCAGATTCGTTTAATCTGACTATACCTTATCAAGATGATAGATAAGAGAGTGAGACAGAAACAGAGAAAGTTCATGACCG